TTTGAACAGCTCCAGGTACCATGATCTACTAACCAAACATAAAAGTACCTCTGTATGACTTCGAGAAAATTCTATCAAATACACAGACACCGTGGGTCTTCATTCAATAAAGTATTTTACCGGTAAGCTGACACACGATAATACTACTTTGTGTAGCATACTGAATTCTATCCATTGTTAGTAGTGAACCTTGAATGACTCTGTCCATAAGATGAACAAAGTAGTATTTGCAACCGATTCTTTATTTCAGCTGATGTAGTCAATAAATAGGAAGGAATTTCATCTGCTCTTCCAAAACATAATTCTACTGAAGATTTAAATTCAAAGTTATATCTGAGCAAGATAATAGCGCTGTATTGTGACTGAGTTGCTGTACATTCAGAAATCGTGGATTTCTAACTAAAAATGGACAACAGCAGTGTTTAATCTCTCAATAAAGTAAATTAGATACCAGAAGCCATCTTAACGAAGCACGTTTTTTTATTTGCAAGTGTATTTACTTTTGCGTCGTTTAATAATCCTAATGTATGACTACTTTATGAGTTCGCTCAGGAAAGAAATGCCAAACGATTGGTCCTTCTGTGAGCTGAAGCATGTGTAGTAACTTCGATAAGTAATTTTAGATAACACTGCGTTAAACATTATTCTAAACTTGACATAAAATTCCCCTGACTAAATACTACTTCAAATTTCTTTGAAAAATCCCAAAGTGAATTCGTTATTATACGGTTGGCAAATATTATGAAGTAATGACAACAATGCTGAGCAATAGCTTACTGGTTTCAACCAGGAGCTTAATAGGCAAAACTCTTTGGGAAGCCGACATCTTGTTGATTTCATAAACGCTGTGTCTTCTACTGACATCAGGGATAACATGAAAGCATTTTACCTTGCTCCAAGGTACATCGGCCGTAGCCAGAGAATGCTTTCTACACCTACAAGAGAACATGTTCCTGCTTGGTTTTATAAAGGTGAAAGAAAGTCTGTTTGAAGTTCGATTCTAGAACATTTGATTGACTTCCATCACACAACAAATCCAGACGATGACTTTGAAATTATTTATCAAATTCACCCAAACCTCCCACGTTCTCTTCGTTTTCAACTCCTTAAAACAGCGGAGGCTTTAGCTATTCATGAACTAAGACCTGATCTGTGTGTACAAAAGAAGTATGTGCAGTCACTGTCTCTATCATGGCCATAACATTTTCCCACCCCATTAGCTTCCCCTCCCACCCTGTTAATTTAACCTTTGTATACTTCCTTTATCACTATTATTGTTATTATAATCACCTTCACTTCAACTAGTTTCCGGTGTTGTTTCACTTAATTGTCTTAATCCTTTTAGAAAACATTGACTTCATCTTGTCCAATTTGTCTAATGCCATTGCATAATACTTAGTTGATTTACCATTTTCAACAATTTTTTTTCACCCCCTTCTGAGTTATATACTCTCTATGTACTATTCCATAAGTTACATAATCTATTTGTTGTCATTCGCACTTCGATTGTTATTATTATCATAAATGCCTATGTCATCACCCGCTCTATTATTATTGTCATCACCATATTGTGTTTAGTTTTCCTCACAGGATATAATTTTTTCCAAATACCAAATATATACGATTGTACAGCTTGAAAATAAATTCGTTGAAAAGAGTCTTTTTGCTGAATATCTCGTTCTAGATATACATCAGCAAGGTATTATTTAGCAAGAAACTAGCCACCATTCATAACTGTAGACAAATTATTGAAAAGCCTCAGTCGATAATGATGCTGTTTCATGGCAGTACTGAAATCATAGAGAAATTGACTCAAACACGTAGGAAACCACTAACATGCTTGTTTACTACTATAGAAGTTGTGCAATCTAAATAGGTGACAAGCACCAGTCTGTCTTAATGCTATAAGTTGTGAAGTTTTTCATAAATCTTGGCTGCGGATCCATCAAGAACTAGCAGTTCAGGACTAAAAATTGGTTTACAGTAGATTAGGAAGTATTCCCTCATATCTTACATAAATCACTCAGATGGCTTTTCTGACTTCCAAGTATTCTTTATCATATTCCAAGCTGTCCTGAACAGCATCTTACCTACGTATAGGCGACTAGACTAATCAAGCCTCGAAACATTAGGATCACCGTGAGTAATTAAGGTGAAAACCATAAACAATGTGTGGAGACAATATGTATCACAAAAAAACTGGCCACAAAAGTCATGGGAGGCCACCGGATGCCAAAGTATTTCATGTTTGCATTCATGGAGAGATACTAACAGCTTATTTCATACTGAAGTTAATACTGATGATGTCGTCTAGAAACAGGATGGAAGCTCCACAATGAAACAACCCAGTTCAGAGAGCACAACAATAAAACCAATGCATTCACCTGCATTTATAACTTGACATCTGGTTAAAAGTTCCATACACTCACCAACTGGTTTTGAGCAGATGTTCGTTGTAGAATACAATCAGGATTGGGGTCTTGGTTTGTCCATCTGGCAGTATTTATCATTTAGGTTGGTGATAATATATATTAGGAACAATGTTATCTGTACTGATAAGATTATACAAAGTGAATGCTTTGAAATGCCGAAATGTTAATGGAGGTGTCTTCCTGAAAGGGCTAAAACGACTGGAATTGCAGTGTGAATGATCAGTATATGTATTAGGTCTATGTGATCCAGAGCTGAGTAATACAGAACGTTTTGTAGACTAAAATAATATATGCACTTCAAAGATGTAAGTGATTGACCAAACAAACTACATTTTTTTGTCAGTTCATCAGTTGTTGAAATTCAATCCTCACATCACTTAGCGTCCATTTAGAAGTTAGTTTCATTTTATCAAACAGTTGTGTCAGGATTTCCAAAAAAACTGGGTGATATGAGACTCCATATCGAAATAAAAGCTTTCATCTGATTATCTGTGAGTTATTTGAGTACAAAACACTCACATCTCCATTTGTCTACACCACCGTATGTTATAAAGTCATCAAGGTCATTCCTTACTTACTTCTATCAGTTAGATAGTGAGGAAGTCACCTGCGAATTAAGAAACACTAAATTACCATTACTGTAAGGTTTTTTTTAATCATCATAAGCCGTACAACTTTTAATAACTTGCTATATAAAAGTTAGTCTAACGAATAAACTAAGTATGTGAAAACAAAATAAGGTGTAAAAAAGTTTTTCATACCTTTGGACAAATTGAAATATACGTCCAACTTATAAAAACTACTAACAAATTTTACTAGTTGTATCCCAGTCATTCTTACTAGAGATGAACTAATCGTAAATTGATACAGCGAAAGTGAACTTCAGAGCAAGTTACCTATTTTTAATCTACTAGTATTTTCGAAAAACGTAGGTTGGGATAACATTCCCTAATGTGAATACTCAGAGTGAAATTAGAGTATCCCAACGTTTTCTACTTGATTTAGTGAAATTTGTATAGAAATCTACAGTAAAGTTGACTGAAAAATGTTCATTTACTATTAGTAGGTAGCCTTATATCTGCTTAAATGACTGAAACCCACTTTTAAGGCTGTTTGATTTCAGTCTTATCAAAAACTTATAAATATTTGAGAGAACAAGAAATTTCACTTCCTATAATCTCCTAAGGCTGTAAAGTCACACCTGTTGCTAGTGGTAAGTGATAAAAGAAGCAAGGACCCTAATGAAAATGTTAGTCGTGAAACTTAAGTGCCAATAATGAAGGTAGTAAAGAAAGAAGAATCAGTTGTGGTACGCATTTCCTCTTCATGTAAACGGCAGGCACCAACTGGTTAGTCCTCAGTGCTTTTAGTGTTAATAAGCTGGTAAATTCCTCCTCCCTTGAACATATTTAATTTGATGATTCTTATTTAGGAATGAATTTTGTTATTAGACTTAAATTATCCTCAAGCCTGACCATTTTTTTCATCGCAAAGCTTTGAAATTACTTCACTTTATGACAAAAATGTGGTTAACCTGTAAGGCGGTTATCAAGTCCGGTTATTACATGCCAAACTACGATCTTTTTTTTAATTATTCCTTTGTACGAAACAATCAAAGTAGCCTGTGAGCTTCCGGACAAAAGGTATGCAAAATTACACATAAACAATGATTTCATAAATATGAATAAAGTTTTTTCCATACAGTACACAATTTTGCATTGGGAAGCATTTTCTGCAGAGGAAAACGTCTCAGTTATGCACTTGAGAAACTTTTTAAAGTATATGACGGTTAAATCAACTTATGAACAAACATATATTTGTGTAAGTGATAAATTATTAAAGTTCTTATTTTACTCGCCAGTGTTGTTTGACTTGTGCAATAACATTAGGTGTTAAGAAAACTTTCTGCTAAGTGAAAAAAGACCAGTATTGAGCGCAACCAAAGATAAAATGTATAAATCTAGGCGTAAGAATACGTAATGTGCAGTCTATTTTAAATTTGTGGAATATAAATCTGATTAACCGATTCCGAATTTATTCATGGTGTTAAACAAGATATACGTTTTACACTGTACAGGTATCTGTTATAAAATATTTGATCAGTTTGACTAATTTGCCAGTAAGAATTCTTTTCACACATTTCTACTTACAACTGAATACGATTATCATGAAAATTGCCTAACTTTGCTTCAATACCCAACCTCCCTGTAACACAGCTTTTCAGTTGAATGTCTAAATGTCAAAGCAAGCAGAAAGTCAGACTTGAGTGCACTTTTTAGAAAATGTATCAGCATATACCTTTGCGCTTCATATTCTGTCATGTCGTACAATTTTTGTTAAAATTTTTCCTACCATGAATTTTAAAATAATGGACAGACATCCAGGGAACGTGCTTACAACAGAAACATGTAATAGCGATTTTTCTGCAAAAAAGTGAATAGCATACAGTGCTTAAACAATCTCAAGTTAAATTGCAGAACTTTTCTCCAAAACTTTTCATAATGTTATCTTGCAAAAGAGATTTGAGAATTTTTATGAAAGTTATAAAAGCTTAGTACTAATACTTACCAGTTAACAATTTGATCATTTCTATGTTGAGTAAATAAACTGATATTTTTATTTATTATTTGAAATGTTGTAATTCCAGTATTTTTGTGTATTTCACTTAATAAACTATTTATTTATTCATACAAAATAATTTCGTTATTGGACAATTTTTACTGACCAATTACTTTTGATACTTTTCCTACTCAAACGATACAAATTTGTTTGACAGTTAAATTGATAATGCTGAGTTGTGTTTAACTCACTCATGTCACTATACTAAAAAGACAACCAAACAAATCAAATGTGACAGTACAGAATTAGGTTCATCTCAGTGATTTCATGTAAACAAAACAAAATTACGAACAATTCTTTCTTGATATAAAATTAAAATAAGCAACAAGTGTAAAGGTAGAAGTAGAATTTAATGAACCCATGAGTTTCAGCAGAACTCCTCGGCTAAGCGCTCTACATACTTGATAATATATACTACTAATAAACATAAGGTGAGATACACATATGTACATGAAAATACGTAGACGAGTGAGGTCTAGCATCATAAAGTTTTGCTGACCACTATCGAAGAGACAAGTGAAAAGGTTGGTGTGTGTGTGTGTGTAAAAACTGACCGAAAAATTACATGAATAAGACTTTATTTACGTGATCATGAATAAAAATATTGACAAGCGATAAAGAAATGAATGCTAGAAATAGAAATGGGCGTTCAACCGAAAAAAGTAGTAAGGAATATGGTAGTAAGATAAAAACAAAAAAAAAATTAACCAGTATTAACGACCAATAAAAAAATCAGCTAATTAACGAAGTCGTGATAAATTAAAAGTCCTATCAACGGAAATCAAAGGTCACCAGCATTTCGTTTGCCAAATATAAGTCTGATTCGATAACTTAAATTTCACAGGCTTCTACAGTTTCAAACATTTTGTATTCCCACTGTTTGCTGACCACTGTATACGATTCGATATACTCGGCGTAATCCCTAAGGCCAAAAGGTGTTCGACTATGGAGCTTCTTCACTTCAAAACGACCTGACTGCTTAAGAAAGCGTTAAGCTATGCTTGTAAAAGCTGCCTCTGCTCACGATCTACATAAATGTGCTGCTTCAAGAACATTTGAATTGATGTAGGTGGTTGAAAATTTTGAAGATATAGATTTTGTCTTTCCCACTTCTTGATGATAAGAAGCATCAATTTTACAGCATATCTAGTTCTATCAACGGTCATAACAAGCCCTTGTTTGACTCTGTTATGCACATCGTCTCCTTCAAATGGAAGAGCTATGAAGACAGTTTTCGTTTTAAATTTTTGTCTTGTTAAAAAATCTATCGTGATATCCGTTTTTGACAGGATTTCCTTAATTTTTATATAATTGTGTTGTCAAAGAAATTTTTTAGGTATATCAAACAGAATTCGAAATATATTCTTTACATTGGATCTGAATTTGAAGTGTAAATAGTGTCCCATCAGTGATGGCTTTCTGAATGTGAACATTACTGCATATCCACCAATCCTCTTCCCTTAAAAAACATTAGAAAACTTGATCGTATAGTTTTCTTCATTCTTCATTGTAAGATCACTGTTCTGTTTCTTTTAAGTCTGTAGTGTGACTGTTCAAGGTAGTACGTAAAACAGACAGAATTACATCAGCGATACATGTGATAATTTTACCATATGTAGCAGTAAACTTGAGATGGGAACACTTTTTGGGGAAATTCAACTCACTAACAAATCTCAGTTTTAAGTTACAGAATGTAATCAGGTAATAGGATATCTTTCCTACTAACTCGTTCCATTTAATGAGCATATCTACTATTAGTGTTCATTACTTAATCACTTACCAACTATTTCATTCATGATCACGTAAAAAAAACTCTAATCCATGTAATTTTTTAGTCAATTTTAATTCATACACCCCGAACCTTTTCGTTCGTCTCTTTGACAGTGGTCAACCCAATTTTATTGTGACGGACCTCATTTGTCTTCCCAGTTTTAAGAGTATATACGTGTTTCATTCTTCATTCATTCACGGCTTATACAACCAGATATGTAGAGCAGTCGACTAAGGAGTTCTACACAACCTATGGATTCGTTAAATCCTGCTTTATTTTACATGTATTGCTTGTTTTAGAACAAATTCAATTTACCGAAGTGTTTCAGCTATGAAATTCAACTGTACACCAAATCCAAGTAGATTGGACAGCATTTAAGGTCAACACAATAAATGAGCTGAGATAGTTATACTAATATAAATATATCATCGCTTTAAATTATTGAAATAATTAAGACGAACTTTCAGAATCTTCACTATTTGTTGGACCTAGCAATATATTGAATCAAATTAAATACTGTACTAAGTAATCCATGAAACTTGTAAGTCGGTTTGTGTTCAACATTCATGAAAAAGTACTTTAGAAGTTTTCACCTCCTTTAAAATCTACTTTGCAATAACCTCTTACTCAAAATGCATCCGTAATTGATGGTTTTATAATAACAATATCTTTGTTGACCATATCAATAAACTCCCCTATATTAGAATGAGAATGTCAAATTACGGTTGTGATACACGGACACAATGAAATAAATTGATGAAGTAATTTACTTTTATAGTCTCATGAATTTTTGCAATGCAAATAACTAGTACCACTAATGTAACAAAGAGTAGATAATAATAATTGGTAGTCCCAATTGAATTGTAGGTAATATTTCAGATTAAAATATCTGTTCGTTTTGAACTTGTTATTCCTTATTAATAATACTAATCTGTCAAACCATGGTTATCTCAGAAAGTCCCACTCATATTCCACACGTATCTGCTAATCTTCAATTCATCTCGATTTAGACATAGCTGATAAGACACTGCCTAGAAGTTAGTGTGATTACGACGAATGGATACATAAGCATCAAGGAATCTTATTGCAGCCAGGTTGAAATGAACCTACGACCAAAATGGGCGCGAAGTATTGTAGCTCAGTTAGTAGTGCCCTGGATAGGTGGGCAAGAGTGCTGTGGCTTGAGTCCTGTTAGGAACTATATTTTTAATTTGTCTACAATAATCATCCATCATCAAAATGTGAATAGTTGAAATGACATTGACGATAAGTCTGATTTACTAAAGAACAGAGCTGCATATACATTCACGTGAAGACTTAATTTGAAAGAAGATTATAGTAATGGCTGCTTTGATCATATCACCATTAAAGTGGTGATTTGGAGCTGAAGTAAATTATCCATGAAACTCTACTGCTAACTGCATTTTGTGCATCACACCAACTATACACTCTGAATGCTGCTGACATTCAAGTTTCTACACAATTTACGTCATAGCGTAAGGATGTATGGTAACTTTACCACTACTTTTCGTCTAAAAAGGGGAACAAGAGCATCTATAACATGAATGATATTGTATTCGGTCTCAAAGTGAATCAGGTAGATTTTTCGAGACGGTGAGACACGTCGATAATAAAGATATTTCTGTTAATAATCTCGTTGCTCGTATTATCCCGCCGTTGAATGGACCAAATCGATCGGTCTCTATTGGCATATATGCTCCTACACGGATGCCTTGACATTGCCTGTGTTTGAATTATACATTAATGATGGGTAGTGGAATCCGGAATGAACGTTTTAGCCCACTTGGGACTCGGCAGCCGGATATGCTTAACTTCCAGCGATTGATGTTGTTCCTACCAGGTGTCGAACTCGGGACTAATTTCCTCAAACGCCTGAGTTCCAGTTCTGGTGGGAACAATATCTCTCATTCAAGGGCACGTATACCTAGCTGAGTTCTAAATAGGACGAAATGCGCATCCTGGATTCCACTGCTAGCCACTTTCCACCATTAATGCTTATGTTAACATTACATAAATACCAAATATAAGTTTAGCACAAAGATAGTAGAAGGCATAGAAACTATTGCTGTCAACTTGACTACCAAAAAACACAAAATCTCAAAACTTCAAACTGTGCTAACTGAATATTTGTTAGGCGTTCACAACTGATAAAATAGTAGGTAAATTAACGGGGAGTTTAACTGCTACTTTGCTTGCAATTGCCATGCTCTTAATTAGGTAATAAGTAACCTCAGTGAAGTTGATTATTGGCCGATGCGCGTTTAATTTAAAAGGTAATTAGAAATAGTTATTATTGTTTTATCCATTAATCAGCATGAGCCAAATAACCAGTAATACGTTATACGACTGTTCAGTGGGAATGGCTAAATCCTTAGGGCTTTTGTAAATAATACAAGATTGCACTGATTTTTTTATTAGAAGGTACCAAAGGGGGAAGATTCAGATTTTAGAGCAATGAATTGCAATTAATTTACTCCAAAAAAGGAATCAGTCCCTATTTCATTTATCGTGGGACTTGAATTTTATGTAACTAGCTTCACAGTGTTTGAGAGTAAGCCAAACTGGAGTTTTATAACCTAGCTTGATATATTTGTTTCCTGTCAACTATTCTACCTGAATTTTCCCCAAAATGAAATACTTCATTTCAGACTCAGTATGAAATACTGGCTAGGTTTATGCGAATAGGCAAGTAAGCAAGATAGTTAGATTGTTCAGTGAAAGTAAATATGGTAGTTCAATCGCTAGGGCATAACAGTTTGGTTGATACCTACTGTGTGCATCTGACAGCTAGTAAGCATAACTTCAGTTTCAACAGTTTTTTCAAACATTACACTGGCGGGGCCATGAGTGCACACTACTGAGAAATCCCATACTAGGGCAAAACAGCTGTCCAGTGCTACGAGGTTTCTAATATTTCCTTAAATAATGTTAGTTCATGACGAATACCAACTTGTAATCAATAGATCCCCACAAACCTCCGAATTGCATTGTACTGAACTCTGATAAAGATAATCTCATGAATTAGAACTATTAGTGTCAAACAAATAACAAATCTCTATTCATGAACAACACCTTGTTTCAGACCGAATGTGCACTTTAAGTACCCAGGAGAAAATCTCTTGATTTCAACTTTGTCAGTATTAATATTGCTTTTAACATAGGCTGTTTCAAAACAGAAGGTAAAGTATTTGAATTTATCAATTTGAGAACAAAGCATAGTTTATGTGAACTAAGAACAGATAAAGTAATGAAACATGCAGTTGAGTGAATGCTATTTGTTAAGAATCACATTCACACCAATCAAAACAACATAGCTTATTAAGGATTAAAAATTAATGGTT